AGCTTCATTGCTTTCTTACTGGTTTTGTACTACTCTATACATCATGTTGATGTACTTTTCGTGATTTCCTATCACTCAGTCTTTAGTTATGATTATTACTCACTGAGTTGGAGTACTCACTTTACTCCCTGCACCTCGTGTGCAGATTCAGGCATTGCTGATCCTACCAGTACGAGTTGAGAGCTCCCGTCTGACTTTGGAGTCCACGAGGTAGCTGCTTGGCGTCCGCAGTCCCGTGTTTCTCCCCTTTATCATTTCTATCTCCTTATCAGACCTTTTGTAATAACTTATAGACTTTTCCGACTTGTGTTAGGATTGATAGATGCTCATGACTAGTGACACCCTGGTATCGAGCTGTATTGGGTTGTATTTCGCAAATTATGCTATTATCTGCTACTTTGAGGTTCTATTTATTATGCTTAGACTTATTCCTTATGGTTTAACTGTTAAAAAATAAAATGGAAGTGTCGGCTGACCTTGTCTTCACGAGAGGCGCCACCACGACCGGGTCCGGGTTTAGGGTCGTGACAAGAAGATACGCATGATTCAATAAGAGACAAGAGTCCCAAAACTTGTGGAGTCCTTGGAATAGTAGGAATCCTATCAAACGAGAAGTTGACTATGCATAGGACTCTTAGAAGACCTTAAAGTTTGCAGTCTAAATACTAACTATTTTGGAATTCTGAACTTATCCTTTTTACACATCAACTAAAGAATTACATGTTGTTCACTCTAGTCGAGTACTAGTATTGTGTTCTTCTTGAATTAGTGTAGTAAATGTGTTTTAGAAAATCGAGTGAAGGAAGGCCTTTTTTTCATGTTGGATTGCCATGTCATCAATTATATTATATTTAAAAATGTGACATATGATGTGAAGGGCCATTAGTAGTAAGGGTACATGTGGTCCAAAAATTAGACGGTAAGGGCATAATTGCTATCAAAATTTAATAAAGGGTATAAGTGACCTATTTCAAATAGTTTAAGGCTACAATTGGCCTTTTTCCAAAATTAAAATTAAAATTATCGTATGCACATGCATTATTCGCGTGATTAAAATGCACTTTTGCCACATCAACTAAGCTACCGCTGTATAAGCATGGTATCGGTCAGAGACATTTATTAATGTTAATTTTGTTAAGTAGGAGTACTTAAATGAGAAAATTTTAAGTTCAACTTGACAAATTGATGCAAGTTTAGCTGGCATGAAGGCTATTTTACCTTAATATAAATAAAATATGATAGGGCATTTTTAAAACTTTCTTCCATATTTGTAAAACGGATCACTCTATGAGCCCATTTTGGATGGGTTTGTTGTAAGTGACTTTTAAGCAAAAGTCATAAGTTAGGAATTCTCGCTTTTAGCTTATTTTTATCATTTTAGCTTAAAAACACTTTTGTTACTTTATCCAAATACTATAAAATAACTTAAAAAGCTATTTTTGTTATGAAACAATAAAAGAAGAAGAAGAGTATTGCAGAGAAAAGTAGATGGAGAGAATTCTTATTGATTTGAGATGAATTACAATGGAATAGAACCCTCTATTTATAGGAAAAGAGTGACTTAGCCACCAAGTAATAATCCCTAGAATCTCTCTAAATATAGACATTCACCATAAATAGAATTCTATTTATAACACGCCTCCTTGAATGTCTATTCAATAGATAATGTGTCTCGTTAAAACCTTAACTAATATAAAACCCTGTGGGAAAAATTTATAGAGAAGGAAAAAGAATACACATATCTAACAATACGCCTTTTGGCTGCCTCATTAAAAACCTTGGAAGGAAAACCCAGTGGGACAAAACCTTGTAAGGGAAAAAAGAGTGCAACGCGCATTAACTCCCCCTGATGAGAGCATCAATTCACATCCTTGAGTCTTCGCATCCCAATCTTGTGCACTAGCTTCTTGAAGGTTGACGTCAACAAAGATTTGGTGAATAAATCCACATATTAACTCCAATGAATATGTTGCACCTTGAAAATCCTCGCTATCACATTATTATTCTTATAGTTATAGCAAGATACCTTTGTGCACAAATTTCACTTAGGATGTGGTCATTCGTGACTAAACAATTCTCCAAGAATTGCATATGCTATCAGCATTTTAAATCGTTCATGGATTGCCATATAAGTATAGTCAATAAGCCATATAAATAGAGTTTAGATTTACATCAAGTTTTCATGTCATGCCAGACATATAAGATACATAAATGTGATAGCACACACCATTGACTTTATACTTTTAAGTGTTTGAACTGCAGGTCCAAAACTACTTGTCTTTCATATAAAACCAAATTCTACTTGAATTGTTTCTCCAGACTTAAGATCCTCATATATATTTAGTGTTATAATCAATGTCATCGACAAACATTTTATATCAGTTCCAACCTCCTTATTTTTCATAAAGACATAACATAAAGATTTCTTCATTCATATATTCAGGTACCTGAATCTCTCATGAGATTTTATGAAGTGTTATGTCATGTGATCTTCTCGATCACTTACCTCCTTTATTATGATCATTTTGATCATTGCTCATCTTCTTTATCAAGAAGTTTATTTGAAATCGATTGTCTATATGCTTTAAGCTTACCATAGACTTTGTCCTTCTAGGACTTATAGGAGCAGTTGCAGTGAGAATATAGTTACTTTCTTTGGGTCAGCATATGCGTCCAGCATGCTTTGCAATATATTGCAGATGAATTATCTTTTATGAACTTCAAGTTCATATTATCTTATTCGAGGATCTAGATGTACGCATGATAATTCATTATACGTAACTTTTTCTCAACTATTTATCTTGTCTCCCCCTCATGTTAGAAAAACTAACTTGCTTCCTCAATTTTGAAAATTGATCTTTGTGCGCTATGGTGTTAATCAAAATATACAGCGCACATCAATAATAATAAGATGGAATTATTTGTTTCCTGACCCCGAACCACTTGTGAGGGGAGAAGATAATATACTTTCGTATATAACATATATCAAACTGATATACAAAACTTTGTTCTCATAAGCAATTGTTTAGGTATTAAGTGGAGGCACTCAATAAATCATTTTTCTAAACCAACTGTGATGTAAACCAACTTATCAAGATAAACTATCTTGAACAAAAAATCTGGAAATTATGCTCTAAATCAAATTATTGAGCAAGTTACCTCGCAAACACCATGTTGTGGGTTAATAACAATCGCACATGTAACCATCTCATAGATGCATCTTATGTGATATACATGGCAGGTGGATATGCCCATATTCACCTTTGATATTTCCAGCATTCATGGTATTCAATCTCAATTTTAGTTGATCTATTAATTAATGAGAACAAGCAATATAAGAGATTTCGTAAAGAACTTTCTAGTTTTTTTAATATTTACCCATGTGAATTCTCTATTTTTGCACATCATACTTAAATTGATATGGCTAAACTAATTATGCCAACTGAATAAATTATCAATATTGATAAACTTTAGATTTACACCATGACGTGTGCAATTATCAATAAACTCCAAGTTTATTATGATATGGGTTTCTATATCAATAAACATCCACTTTATTGTGGTATTCTTTTATTTGTATAGTACAAACTGGAAAATAAAGCGGGTAGCTTTTCACATACATATTACCCCGCTACAAAGTTGTAGTAATAGAAGATATTAAATATTTTCTTTATTTATAGTCTCAATATAATCAACCACTTTCGCGTAAACTTTGGAAACTGAATAAGTTTCTTTGAGACTTACAACGACACAATACATTATTGATAATCAATTGTGTTTCTCCAAAATAGTATAATTGGCTCTTGCGGAGTTTTCAATTAATTTTGTACTATCACATATTCATCAACATCCATATGGTGAATATCTCTTTTAAAGAGAAAGTTATACCATTATTGTTATGGTCAAAATTATATGCAAGATCTGTTTCTTGCATTACTGTTGTCTTTTAATAATCACAATGCCAAACTATTTTGGCATCCAATAAGTACGTGACCAATGACCATTTATGCCATAATAATGAAATAGTTTTCTTATTTCATCCCAAACTTCTTTCTAGAGGTTAGTGTGGTATATTCACTACCACTAGCACGTTCATATTCTTCCAAGAATGAATATGTATTCATAAATCAGATGTTGTCACATTCACATCATAAATGGACCATAATCATCTATATGCTTTATAAAATCTCATGTCAAATCAATGAAAAATATTACTTTCACAAAGTGAAGGATTATTTTGAAAATCCTTATTATTCTCATTATCACACTGATGACGATTATAATTTCGTCTATTGTCACGTCCATATCCATTGATACCTTCACGGTATTAATTTTGTCTTCTTTCAGACATATCACATATTGCTATCACATTTTCTTAAAGGAATGAGAATGGAGCAAATTCAATGGGACGGGTTTTCACTTCTTGTGCTTATGATCATACATGACTTTGATCATGGAAAGACATACAAATTTTACCACTTCGAGTGGTTATAATTTCTTACTAAATCCATTAGAGTTATAATCAAAATTTATTTCTTTGCTTGTATTTAAAATCAAATTATAGAATAAAAAAGAAAAATACGATAAAATACATACCTTAAATTCAGAATTTAATCATGAAGGAAGTTCATGGAACAATTGACAATCAGTATGCTCAATCATAGAGCTTCTACCCAATTGGTTAGAGTCTTGTGCTGATAACGTGTTATGAAACAATAAAAAAAGAAGAGTATTGTAGAGAAAAGTCGAGGGAGAGAATTCTTATTAATTTGGAATAAATTACAATAGAATAGAACCCTCTATTTATAAGGAAAAAGTAACTTAACCACCAAGTAATAATTTCTAAAATTTCTCTAAATATAAATATTCACTATAAATAGAATTTTATTTATAACAATGTTGGCTTAAAAGCACTTGAAAGTAAGTCAATCCAAACGACTATCTGTTTCCTCACCTAGTAACTACAAAAGAAAGTCTCGCATTAGAAGGGGTAAATGATTATCTTCCTTAGTTTAACTAACGGGATTCTCATTTCATTCCAAACCCCAGCATCGGCAACTTTCACAGCGCCTCCTAAAACCCTACTCCACTCACTAGTCACTCTATACACACAAACGACCAGGCACCACTGATCCGGCAAAAACCCTAACACATGTCTTCTTCCATTTCTCTGCGCCTCGCGCGCCACTTGTCAACCTCAGCCGCCACTGCTACCGCTGCTACTTCGTCAACCTCCGGCGCATCCATCTCTATCTCCAAAGCAAAATCGAAGCTGAAATCCGAGCACGATCCAGACAAAGCCCTTAAAATTTACTCTTCCGTTTCTGACCATTACACTTCCCCTTTATCCTCTCGTTATGCTCAGGAATACACAGTTAAACGCCTCGCCAAATCCCACCGTTTCTCGGACATCGAAGTATTCCTCGAGTCGCACAAAAATGACAAGAAAATCACCGAAGAGCCCTTCCTTTCCTCGATCATCCGTTCCTATGGAATTGCCGGAATGTTTGATCATGCGCTTAAGACTTATCATCAAATGGACGATTTAGGCACCCCCAGATCAGTTGTTTCGTTTAACGTGCTTCTTTCTGCTTGTGTTAACTCGAAACTATATGATCGTGTACCCCAGCTGTTCGATGAAATGCCAAAGAAGCACAGATTCTTACTCGACAAAATTTCATATGGTGTATTGATTAGGTCATTTTGTGAAATGGGGAAAACTGAATTGGCAATGGAGAGACTTAAGGAGATGGAAGAGAAAGGTGTGGAGGTTACGGTGGTTATTTACACGACGATACTGCATTCGTTGTATAAGGGCGGGAAGAGCGATGATGCTGAGAGGATTTGGAATGAGATGGTGAAGAGAGGTTGTGGACCGGATGTTGGTGCTTATAATGTTAAGATTATGAACTTTCAGGGTGGTGATCCTGAGAGAGTGAAAGGATTAATTGAGGAAATGAGCAATGCAGGTTTAAAGCCCGATACAATTAGTTACAATTACTTGATGTCTTGTTACTGTAGGAATGGGATGATGGATGAGGCTGAGAAGGTTTATGAGGATTTGGAGACAAATGGGTGCAATCCAAATGCTTCAACTTTTAGGACTTTGATATTCTATTTGTGTAGGAGTGAGCGGTTCGAGGCAGGGTATAGAGTGTTCAGGGAGAGTGTGACAGCAAACAAGATTCCGGATGTCAATACACTCAAGTATTTGGTGCATGGTTTGGTGAACAGTTCAAAGGTGAAAGATGCAAAAGAGATGATTAGGATAATGAAGAAGAAGTTCCCTCCTAATGTGGTGAAAGTCTGGATCAAGTTAGAGCACGAGCTCGGTTTAGCTAAAGCTGAAGACAGTGGTATCAAATCTAATGATACTAATGTTGCTTAGTTATGATTCTTGTTTGTGGTAGCTGGAAGCATTATTACAGCTTTATAGTTGTTGAAGGACTTTACATGATTGAATTTGTTTATCTATTATAAAGATGTGAGTTAGCACTTGGCGCTAACATTTTCTATGCCCTTTATTTTTGAAAGCTAATATAGAACTTACATGAGTTTTGTAGTCCTTTTGAAGATTCGCAAATGGCCAATTCTATGGGCTAAAAGTTCTGTTGCTTCGTTGCTTTTTCTTGTCTTCTATCCATTTGTTTGAATAATCAATATAATGTTGCCATATTGCTGAGAATCTAATTTTTAACTTGATCTGATGGTTTATTGTTAAAGTTCTTTTCTTTAGTGCTGCTTGTTTAACGAGTTAAAGGATTTCGGGAGCATTCTTCTAACTCATTAACACTATACTTTAGGGACAAGGTATATTAGCTAGCTTTAGGAGAAAAAGCGAATCTGGTAAATACAATTGTTGTTGGAAACAAGATTCTACAGGTTTAATACAATTCAAGGCCCTATTCTTAATTTGCATATATAAAGTGCATTCTGATATATGCAACTGCAGAATTGTGTATGCCACTGAAGTACACGATCTATACGTGAAGCTTCTGTATGAACATTTAGTACTTTGAAGTTGTTACAGGTCCAAAAGTCACTGACTCGTTTGGCTTATGCCTTCACATGGTTTTTGATATTCTTGCATCCTCAAGAGTCAAGAAAAACATTCAGCAGTTTTCAATTTATTGGATTCCCCTCCCCTGACATGATAAATTTGCCAAGCCTTCGGAAGTGTAGCACTCTTAGTTTACCTGCAACATTGTATTAGGACCATAACATTACTTTCCAGTGAAGTTTAAGAGGTGATCATTTGTGGTTATTCTGACGTATTCTAATTGCTTCCAGATAACAAGAGATCCTGAATTCTGAAACATGAAATCCCTCTGGTTTTAGTTTCATCAGCTATGACGTCTTTGAGGCATGCAGCAAATCCATCCTTTAATGTGGTAACTTCCTCCCCTCTTTAAGTACCTTATTGAGAGACACAACATTCCAACTTAAAGTTTCAGATGTATGGATTACTTTTTTCTGGTTTGGAGATTGTGCTATGTTTGTGAGCCTTATGTTTTATTTGAATTTGATTTAGTTTCTTTTTTTGGATAACAGTGGTGCTTTTAAGGCATCTGATG